ACGCTTTGATTGAACTTGATGAGGCCGCCAGTGATGTGTCAAGGGGAGTCCTGGTCCTCTCCAATGTGGCGGCCGAAGCCGGAGTCAATAAGTATACAGGTACGAATGATGGTTCCAATTTTTGTTTTCTTCTCCCTGTATTTGCAGGTTTTTGCCGGACGTAGCACCCTCCTAGTGTGGGATGCTAGGCAAATCTAGTTCTTGGCTCATTCTGTTGTCAAGGAAGTGCTGATTGTTTGCTCTGGTCTGTTCAGGGTCTCAAAGGCAGGGAGTTTGATTGCTTCCCACGTCCTGTGGAAGAAGTTGGAAGGTAGTGTGAAAGACCCAACCAGGACAGGGCTTTTGGAGGGGACTGCAAGCTAGCCTCTTGCCTACTGACCATGGCCCTGGCATCTGAGGGGGCTGTACTCTTTGGTGTGTGCCTGGGGGGACCTAAACTTGAATCCAAAGTAAATTGCTCCAAAGGTCCCCCCCAGGAACACACCAAAGATGCCAGGCCATGGTCAGTAGGAAAGAGGCTAGCCTGCAGTCCCCTCCAAAAGCCCCTGTTCCGGTTGGGTCTGTCACGGGGAGATTCAAATGACCAGCCTGAATATTTATATGCCTGACCAATCCCTGGAGGGAAGTGTCCAGAAGGTGGTTTGAGAGGTGATAAATGGTCTAGGAGTGACCTGGAGAGGTGATAAATGGTTCTGGAGAGATTTTCCTCCCCAGGGGGGTTCCAAACCTTGGGGGGGGGGGTGCGGTGCTGCTGCCCCTCTGAGGCAACCTGTGGACCGTGTAGCTGATTTTGGAGACCTCCGCTGTGGCATAGATGATAACCTCAAGCAATATATTTGGAGGGGCTGGCTGCAGGACTTCACCACAAGGGATCTGATCTGGGGAAGGATTGTCTTCCTTACTGGACCATGTCTGAAGGAAGCTGGGAAGGTGTGCAGCTGTCCTGGAGACTATGGCTTGTGAGCAATGACTCTGAGTGGCGATCCCTGGTGACTGAGCATTTTTGGGAGGTAGGTGCCAGAGGTAGCTATGAACTAATATGGCTCTCATAGGGTCTCAGAGTACTGGCCATTTCCCATCCTCAGCAGAATCCTGGAGCGTGAGCCTAGAGAAGAGTGTCCTCTCCAGTTTTACTGTGCAGCGTTTTGGAGTATCCACCCCATGCCCTAACCCCTCTCCTGGTTAAAGTTCTTCAAGCAATAAATATCAAGAAGACATCCCATAGACTGAGTTATTGAACCTGATGTGTAAGGACCGGTACTTGTGGGGACAGACAGCTTCTTTACTATTAGGGGAGAGCCAACTATACGGGGGTAGTTCTACACAATACTCAAAGCATTGGCTGAGGTTACAGGGCACCTAATATCCGGAATGAGTACATAATAATACATAGAAGCAATTCAGAATATATGTATTAATGCATAATGTACCATAACATACTGTATATACCACCTTAGCACCCAGGGAAGGGGATACCCATGGGTATGTCCACAAACCGGGTGATCAGCAATTTTCATTAGATTTTTGTATAGGGGTTAAGGGTTGGGTGTCACTAGTGTCTAGGAAGGGCAGAACATGGATACAGGGCATGGGGTTTCGGAAGCATACTCATACCAAAGGGTATAAGGAAAAAGTGTGGCAACCCAAAAGAACAGTCAGCAGAGAGAAAAGAGCCTCTCAAGTATTCAGGTGAAATTCATAATTGTTCCCAATAAATGCACGCAGCCGTATGAGCTCCTGATTCTTCCCTGAGGGCAGAAGTAAGGTGTTCCATGCCCTGTATATCATTCACTCTGGCAAACTGTAGGTGGGGTTTGTTATTTCCGTGTACTTGGTATGTAAGGCTTTGCAGCATTTAGAAGGTGGATAATAGTAGTAACTTAAAGTATTGTTTGCTTGACATACTGTATATATTTTTCTTTCTTAAGACCTCTTTGGTCCAGTCATGTGGTCCATCTTGTCAGCCAGTGAGAGGAGGTAGTAATCTCAACACTGATGTGAATGCTGGGAGTAGTGATGTTACTCAAGAAGAAAAAACTATAATTCTACCACTTTTCAAAACTCTGGTTTGGCCACATCTTGAGTATGCCCGTCCAACTCTGGTCACCAGTCTTTAGGAAGGACATGCTTGAACTGTAGAGAGTCCAGAGAAGAGCAGCAAATAATAAAGGGGCAGGAAGATCTCAGTTATGGGGGATTGAGGACCTAAGTTATGGGGAATAGAGGAGCTCAGTTATGGGGGATGGAGGATCTTAAGTTATGGGGAATTGCGGAGCTCAGTTATGTTGGATGGAGGGCCTCCATTATGGGGAAGGAGGACCTCGGGTATAGGGGATGAAGGACCTCAGGTATGGGGGGATGAAGGACTTCAGTTATGGGGGATGGAGAACCTCAGTTATGGGGGATGGAGGACCCTACAGTTATGGGGAATGGAGGACCTCAGTTATGGGGATGGGGGACCTCAGTTATGGGGATGGGGGACCTCAGTTATGGGGAATGGAGGATCTCAGTTATGGGGATGGAGGATCTCAGTTGTGAGGGATGGAGGAGAGGATCTCAGTTATGGGTGATGGAGGATCTCGGTTATGGGGGAAGGAGGCTCTCAGTTATGGGGGAAGGAGGCTCTCACGTATGAGGGATGGAGGATCTCAGTTATGGGGGGATGGAGAACCGCAGTTATGGGGGATAGAGGAGCTCAGTTAAGGGTGATGGAAGATGTCAGTTATGGTGGACGAAGGATCTCAGTTATGGGGGAAGGAGGATCTCAGTTATGGGGGAAGGAGGATCTCAGTTATGGGGAAGGAAGATCTCAGTTATGGGGAATGGATGACCTCAGTTATGTGGGATGGAAGACCTCAGTTATAGGGGATGGAGAACCTATTTACTATGGAGGATAGAAGAGCTCAGTTGTGGGGGATGGAGGAGCTCAGTTATAAGGGATTGAGGAGCTCAGTTACGGGGGATGGAGGATCTCAGTTATGAGGAATGACTACAAGCATTAAACGTATTCTCCCTGGAGAAGAGACACTTAAGAGGGGATATGATATGGATATACAAGTATCTCAATGATGATTCTAGCATGGGGTGGAAACTATTTAGTCTCAGGACGCTTAAGAGGACACGTCACCACTCAGTGAAGTTGGAGGAGAAGCGGTTTAACCCTAAACTGCATAAGGGGTGTCAGAGCTATAAGGATGTGGAACTCTCTTCCACAGGTGGTGGTGTCATCTTAGTGAACGCAATATACAGGGATATGGGAAATGGTAGTGACAGAAACACACACACAGGTTGGAATGGTTAGACTGGTGTCTTTAGTCAACCACCAGCTATGTAACCCATGGGCTGCTTTGGCTCATTCTTCGTTGGCACTCCCTCTTATCCACTGCAGCTGCTACTGGCTGACATGGGAGATCTTGTGACCGGACCGGAGCAGGCTGTAAACTGGTCGTGTTAGCCGAGACACTATCAGTGTGCAATCGGTGGTGATGTGCCAAGTTTACGATACCACAGCCAACAATCAGATTGTGCCATCATCGAGGTAGACCAATCAGACAACTGCTGAACGGTTGCACTCCTCGCCTAATGAAATGCACACAATATCCTCGTAATGAGATCCTGCAGACAAGTCCGGATGAAAGGTCGAACATATCCTCTCCTGCAGTGAATTCCACTTAATGTCATTTTTAGAATATAATGCATATTAATGCCTTTACTTTGAGCTGAATCAGCACGAATTTCAGTCTGATTGTCGGTATTTGAAATGGACTCGTTTTATTGCTTTTTTATGCAGCAGAAGTATATTTCCACATAGGAGGTCACGCTGCATTCCCGTATATTCCCTCTGCCCCGTATATTCCTCTGCCCCGTATATTCCTCTGCCCCGTATATTCCTCTGCCCCGTATATTCCTCTGCCCCGTATATTCCTCTGCCCCGTATATTCCTCTGCCCTGTATATATTCCTCTGCCCGTATATTCCTCTGCCCTGTATATTCCTCTGCCCCGTATATTCCTCTGCCCCCTGTATATTCCTCTGCCCCGTATATTCCTCTGCCCTGTATATTCCTCTGCCCGTATATTCCATCTGCCCCGTATATATTCCTCTGCCCCGTATATTCCTCTGCCTCCCGTATATTCCTCTGCCCCGTATATATTCCTCTGCCCGTATATTCCTCTGCCCCATATATTCCTCCTCTGCCCCGTATATTCCTCTGCCCGTATATTCCTCTGCCCCGTATATTCCTCTGCCCGTATATTCCTCTGCCCCATATCCTCTGCCATCGTATTCCTCTGCCCCGTATATTCCTCGTATATTCCTCTGCCCGTATATTCCTCTGCCCCGTATATTCCTCTGCCTCGTATATTCCTCTGCCCCGTATATTCCTCTGCCCGTATATTCCGTCTGCCCCGTATATTCCTCTGCGCTGTATATTCCTCTGCCCCGTATATTCCTCTGATCAAACTGCACAAACGGATTATTTGTTTCCTTTCTTTTATGTGATTTGTTTTTTACTTTTTTCTTTTCTTACCCTTTGACTTCCTGTGACCTTTTGATTTCTTTTTCACCCCCTTCCAGTCCGGACACTTTCCCCCCTTCCAGTCCGGACACTTTCCCCCCCTTCAAGTCCGGAGACTTTCCCCCCTTCCAGTCCGGACACTTTCCCCCCCTTCCAGTCCGGACACTATCTTCCCCTTCCAGTCCGGACACTTTCCCCCCCTTCCAGTCCGGACACACTTTTCCCCCCCTTCCAGTCCGGACACTTTCCCCCCCCCCTTCCAGTCCGGACACTTTCCCCCCCCTTCCAGTCCGGACACTTTACCCCCTTCCAGTCCGGACACTTTCCCCCCTACCAGTCCGGACACTTTCCCCCCTTCCAGTCCGGACACTTTCCCCCCCCTTCCAGTCCGGACACTTTCCCCCCCTTCCAGTCCCGGACACTTTCCCCCCTTCCAGTCCGGACACTTTCCCCCCCTTCTAGTCCCGGACACTTCCCCCCCTTCCAGTCCCGGACACTTTCAACCCCCTTCCAGTCCGGACACTTTCCCCCCCTTCCAGTCCGGACACTTTCCCCCCCTTCCCAGTAGTCCGGACACTTTTTCCCCCCCTTCCAGTCCGGACACTTTCCCCCCTTCCAGTCCGGACCCCCTTTTCCCCTTCTTCCAGTGGACAACTTTTCCCCCCTTCCAAGGACGGACACTTTCCCCCCTTCCAGTCCGGACACTTTCCCCCCCTTCCAGTCCGGACACTTTCCCCCCTTCCAGTCCGGACACTTTCCCCCCTTCCAGTCCGGACACTTTCACCCCCTTCCATGTCCGGACACTTTCCCCCCTTCCAGTCCGGACACTTTCACCCCCCTTCCAGTCCGGATTTTAAACTTTCCACCTTCTCCCCTTCCAGTCCGGACACTTTCACCCCCTTCCTGTCCGGACATTTTCACCCCCTTCCAGTCCGGACACTTTTTTCTTCACCCCCTTTCCAGTCCGCTGGGACACTTTCCCCCTATCCAGTCCGACACTTTCAAATTCCCATTTCCAGTCCGGACACTTTCACCCCTTCCAGTCCCGGACACTTTCACCTTCACCCCCCCAGTCCAGGGAGAGACTTTCACCCCTTCCAGTCCGGAGACCTTTCACCCCCTTCCAGTCCGGACACTTCAGTCTGGACCCCCCCTTCCAGTCTGGACACTTTCACCCCCTTCCAGTCCGGACACTTTCCCCCATTCCAGTCTGGACACTTTCCCCCCCCTTCCAGCCTGGAGACTTTCACATATATTTCCAGTCCAGAGACTTTCACCCCCTTCCAGTCCAGAGACTTTCACCCCCTTCCAGTCCATGGACACTTTCACACACCCCCCTTGGGGGGTCCGGACACTTTCCCCCCTTTCCAGTCCGGACACTTTCCCCCCCCCTTCCAGTCCGGACACTTTCTCCCCCTTCCAGTCCGGACACTTTCCCCCCCTTCCAGTCCGGACACTTTTCCCCCCCTTCCAGTCCGGACACTTTCCCCCCTTCCAGTCCGGACACTTTCACCCCCCTACTTCCAGTCCAGACACTTTCCCCCCCTTTCAGTCCAGGACACTTTCAGTCCGGACCACTTTCACCGCCTTCCTGTCCAGCCAATTTTAAGCTTTCATGACAATTGCGCGGTCATGCAACACTGTACCCATATTAAATTGTTAGCATTTTTTTGAGACAGATAAAACTTTAATTTTGGTGGCATTTATTCACCGCTGGGATTTTTATTTTTTTTTTGCTATATAAGTGAAAAAGTCCAAATATTTTGGGGGAAAAAGCGTTTTTCTTATAAAATTTTGCAAATAAAAATAATCTTTCTTCATAAATCTCGGCCAAAATGTATTCGGCTATCTTTTTAGTAAAAACAAAATGTAACCCCCCAAATTAGTTTATAACCAAAAATTATAATTTTTCAAACATTTTTTTGACATTTGTTTTTTTATTATGTATTATTATTATTTATGGGTTTGTTTTGTTTTTTTTACAACTGTCACGTTTAGCAGTGCGGTGTCACCATGGTGACACTGTACTGCTTGTGGGGGGTGATGAAGATTTTTTTTTTTACACTGATTACTTTTACACCCATAAAGGCTGTAAGAGGAATCATTTCTCCTTCTCTCTGTCTGCATTCCTGCAGCCATTGAGAAATGATGGACAACACCTTGACACGCTTCACTGGGCTTTTGTTGTGGCATTGGCACAGTAAAGGCTTCTTTCTGGCAACTAGAAGAGAACTGTATGGGGGCAGCCAGTCTAATGTACCCCCCCTTGTGTTATAGAGTGTCAGGAGATTAATAGAAGAGAGACGTATGGGGGCAGCCAGTCTAATGTACCCCCCCCCCCTTGTGTTATAGAATGTCGGAAGATTAATAGAAGAGAGACGTATGGGGGCAGCCAGTCTAATGTACCCCCCCCTTGTGTTATAGAGTGTCGGGAGACTTATAGAAGAGAGACGTATGGGGGCAGCCAGTCTAATGTACCCCCCCCCCCCCCCCTTGTGTTATAGAGTGTCGGGAGACTTATAGAAGAGAGACGTATGGGGGCAGCCAGTCTAATGTACCCCCCCTTGTGTTATAGAGTGTTGGGAGACTTATAGAAGAGAGACGTATGGGGGCAGCCAGTCTAATGTACCCCCCCTTGTGTTATAGAGTGTCGGGGAGACTTATAGAAGAGAGACGTAATGGGGGCAGCCAGTCTAATGTACCCCCCCTTGTGTTATAGAGTGTCGGGAGACTTATAGAAGAGAGACGTATGGGGGCAGCCAGTCTAATGTACCCCCCCTTGTGTTATAGAGTGTCGGGAGACTTATAGAAGAGAGACGTATGGGGGCAGCCAGTCTAATGTACCCCCCCCTTGTGTTATAGAGTGTCGGGAGACTTATAGAAGAGAGACTATATGGGGGCAGCCAGTCTAATGTACCCCCCCTTGTGTTATAGAGTGCTTATAGAAGAGAGAGACGTATGGGGGCAGCCAGTCTAAATGTACCCCCCCTTGTGTTATAGAGTGTCGGGAGACTTATAGAAGAGAGACGTATGGGGGCAGCCAGTCTAATGTACCCCCCCCTTGTGTTATAGAGTGTCGGGAGACTTATAGAAGAGAGACGTATGGGGGCAGCCAGTCTAATGTACCCCCCCTTGTGTTATAGAGTGTTGGGAGACTTATAGAAAGAGACGTATGGGGGCAGCCAGTCTAATGTACCTACCCCCTTGTGTTATAGAGTGTCGGGAGACTTATAGAAGAGAGACGTATGGGGGCAGCCAGTCTAATGTGTACCCCCCCTTGTGTTATAGAGTGTCGGGAGACTTATAGAAGAGAGACGTATGGGGGCAGCCAGTCTAATATGTACCCCCCCCCTTGTGTTATAGAGTGTCGGGAGACTTATAGAAGAGAGATGTATGGGGGCAGCCAGTCTAATGTACCCCCCCCTTGTGTTATAGAGTGTTGGGAGACTTATAGAAGAGAGGGACGTATGGGGGCAGCCAGTCTAATGTACCCCCCCTTGTGTTTATAGAGTTATAGAGTGTCGGGAGACTTATAGAAGAGAGACGTATGGGGGCAGCCAGTCTAATGTACCCCCCCCTTGTGTTATAGAGTGTTGGGGAGACTTATAGAAGAGAGATGTATGGGGCAGCCAGTCTAATGTATCCCTTGTGCTGCAGAATGTTGCAGACCTGTATTAGAGTGATGTATAGCTGTGTGGTTATAGATGAGGTTCTAGTCCTTCCCCAACGTTTATGGAACTAAACAAAACTTTGGCTGGAGTTTGCACTTCTTTCATATGTTTTATTGGTTGGTTTTATTTTGGCTTTTCGGATTCCGATAGCTGACATGTCTAGGGGAGGCCTACAATGAGATTTCCCTCTCTTTCCATGAGTTGGTCCCGTTATTTAGTCATGGCTATGGACGGCCTCTTTCTTTCATACAATATGCGTCCCGTTGGGACCTCTCCTTTAATACAGGTTGTATGTCTGTATATAGTTACTGGAGCTCTATAATCTTTGTCAGACAGAAATACAGAAATACAAATGGCTTAAATACCTTTCATGAGATGGATTCTACAAGGTGTTCCGAAAGCTGAGCCGGCTGTAAATGGTGCGTTTAAATCTTCCCAGAGCTGCCATGATTGATCTGGACTGTAAGGGCTTTGCAGCTCCAGGCGTTGCAGTACTTCATGTTCAGAACTTCTTGTCCCAAAGAATTTACAATTCTGCAGCATTAACTCGGCAGCGTCTCTCCTGGATATACAAGATCGTTCTGCCATTTTTATTATCTGTTTCCGTATAGTGACTTCAAGGTGGAGAGGGCCACCAACACGCTGCCATTGGAGCTTGCTCTAAAGTAGAAGAAAAGACCAAGTCCAAGTTTTCTTGAAAATGTTCCCTCCCCCTCCCCTCCTCTGACCTATCTTGCCTCACCTGCATAAAAAAGATATACTTCTCTATTTTGAATCTGCCCCCCTCCAGGCTCATGATGCCTCAGCTCTGGCTGAAGAGATAAAAGATGTCGCCAATGGCTGGGCTATGGGAGCCTATGGGTGATGTCACTGCTCCTGGAATTCACAGCCATTGCTGAGCGCTCCCCAGGGCCGTGGATAAGAGGGTAGAACCAGTCCTCCTGTATGGGGCCCGGGCCAGCAGGGGAGCCCCAGGCAGATGGGTGAATTGGATATGGGCAGGGAGAGTGATCGGCACGGTGGTGGTGGGGCAATTACTGAAACTGATCCCCTGTATGGCTCTCTCTGCAGCAGCTGAAAGTCATCTTCTTCTCCTCTCCCCTCTCCTCTGGCTTTCAGCTGCTGCAGAGAGACATACAGGGGATCGGTTCCAGGAATTTACCAGCCCCTTCCTTTCCTGAATGAACACACAAGAGATGGTGATCAGTGTGGCTGGGGGAGCAATTACTGGAACTGATCTGCAGGAAGGGGGGGGGTGACAGTGCCTGGTAGGCGAGGGGTGACAGTGCCCGGTGGGCAGGAAAGGGGGGGGGCAGTGCCCCTGTAGGCAGGAAGGGGGTAGAAGTGCCCGGTAGGCAGGGAAGGGGGGGCAGTGCCCGGTAGACAGGAAGGGGGGGTGACAGTGCCTGGTAGGTGAGGGGTGACAGTGCCAGTAGGGGCAGAAAGGGGGGGCAGTGCCCGGTAGGCAGGAAGGGGGTAGAGAAGTGCCTGGTAGGCAGGAAGGGGGGTGACAGTGCCTGGTAGGCAGGAAGGGGGTAGAAGTGCCCGGTAGGCAGGAAGGGGGTAGAAGTGCCCTGTAGGCAGGAAGAGGGTAGAAGTGCCCGGTAGGCAGGAAGGGGGTAGAAGTGCCCGGTAGGCAGGAAGGGGGGGTAGAAGTGCCCTGGGCAGGCAGGAAGGGGGTAGAAGTGCCCGGGAGGCAGGAAGGAAGGGGGTAGAGGTGTGCCCGGTAGGCAGGAAGGTGGTAGAAGTGCCTGGGTAGGCAGGAAGGGGGTGAAGTGCCTGGGAGGCAGGAAGGGGGTAGAGTGCCCGGTAGGCAGGAAGGGGGTAGAGGTGCCGGTAGGCAGGAAGGGGGTAGAGGTGCCTGGGGAGGCAGGAAGGGGGTAGAGGTGCCCGGTAGGCAGGAAGGGGGTAGAGGTGCCCGATAGGCAGGAAGGGGGTAGAAGTGTCCTGTAAGCAGGAAGGGGGTAGAAGTGTCCTGTAGGCAGGAAAGTTGTAGAGGTGCCCTGTAGGCAGGAAGGGGGTAGAAGGGCCCTGTAAGCAGGAAGGGGGTAGAAGGGCCCTGTAAGCAGGAAGGGGGTAGAAGTGTCCTGTAGGCAGGAAGGGGGGGGTAGAAGTGTGCCCTGTAGGCAGGGAAGGGGGTAGAAGTGCCCCATAGGCGAGTGGGTTAACCTGTTCCCGCTTGGCCAATAGCAAAATGACAGTTGAGCGGGACTCTTGTCGATCCGGGTTAGCATCATAGGCATGATGTCCTTTCTGGGCGCGCTTTTGGCGAGATCTTTCACCGGCTGTGTACCGGGGCCCTTGCCAGTATCATGTGACCTGCTGAGGGCCAATCACAGCAGGTCACATGACACTTTTAAAACAATGGATGGCTTCCTTTCATGACCATCCATTGTATACAATGGTGTCACTAGCTGTGATTGGTCATAGTGCTCACATGTACAGACTGGGCCAATCACAGCTAATCGCAACAAAAAACCTGAATGAATCGATTTCATGCAGCTGAATGCTTGCTTTTAGCAAAGAAATCCCAGCCAGGTACCCAGGGGAGTGATAGAACCCCTGTGGGGGAAAGGTCCCTTGTAACCCCAGGAAGGGGTCTCCTTAGTCCTGGGTCCATAGTTGGTGGGAAGGAGGCTGGCCCCCAGGGCCCCTCCAAGAGCCCAACACATGGTGGTTTCCATGACAATGTTAATTCATTATTTCTGGAGATGACTTACAGTATGCACCCCCGCTAGTCCAACCCACAGAGAGAAATAGAATGAGCGGATTGGATGATATGGACGGGAGTAACGAACAGAACAAAATTAATTTTGGATTCATTCCGTCATGTTAGGATTCAGAGATTCTGATGGATCCGCCGCCATCCGACCCGAATAAGTAGGAATCATCTTATGTCGCTTTTAT